ACTTTTTCTGAGAGGACTCCATTGTGAATGTGTAATTTCAAACTAAACGTTTGGAATATAATTCATTGGATTAAAATGTTTACAAATAAAAATCTTTAAAAGGAAACCAGTCTCTCAGTCTATATAGTAATTATAGTAAAGTGTTGTAGACGAGTTCTTGTGCAAGATGCTCTTTCATCGAATTTCATACAACTATCTAAAATGTTGAATTGACATGATCAACAGCATGTAAGTACAAACTGAGTATTTGATTCACTTTTAAATAATAAAATACCATTTTGAATACACTGGTTACACTGTTGAATACACCCCTTGAGGACTTTGCCAGCATTAGAACGCATCGCAGATGCCGAACAATTCCTCCAGCATGACTTCTCAATAAAATCATTCTGCCAGTATACAAGTCACGGGTTATTGTGAAGCATTACAAATTATTTTGAATCAAAATATAAAACACAAAATATGTATTTAAGTGCTAAGTCTTATTGGAACAATTAAGAAATCAAGAAACAATTTATGTATTTTATATTTTTTAACAAAATAAAGAAGTACTTGGATTCACTCACTTTTGTGACCCTACATGATCTTGGGCAGTTACTTAAGTCAAGCTTCTTACATATTAATTTACATGGCCTATATTTTGACCCTAATCCTGAAAAAATCAAAATGACGCTTGTTGTAAACATTGGACACTTCAGAGAAAGAATGTTAATTAATAAATTAAATAATACGATGTCCGTATATAATGAGTGAGCAAACCGATTTCATAAAATTAAATTGTAGAATACAATCTTCGATGTCGCCTATTGCTAATTATGGAAAACTACAGTTACTTACCATTCCCGACAAGTATTATAATTACGAAGACCACAAAAATGTCCATCTTATGAAAATGGTATAACAATATTTTGTATAATCACGCATTCAACGTTATATGTAACATATTGTATAGACAATTATCATCTAGGTCCAATAGTATTAATGATATACGATATTATTTGTAAACCATGTAAATCTATACAAAGTGAAGTTATAAGTGATTTTGCAATATAAAAACAGTGGTGACATGCAAAACAAACGTCTGTATGGAGATTATGAACAATAAAAGCGACGATCATCCAAATACAACTTGAACATATATTTTTGATTTAGAGTTGAAATATAAACAATATAAATGATGTTTCGTTAATAATTTATGGTCGAATAGATGAATTCGATCAACAGTTGTCTATAAATGTTTGCAATATACATTTTATGAAATGATTATAAATAAATATATCAATAAGAAAATAATAAATGAACAAATATTAAGTTATTGATGGTCGAGATGGAATATGAATTTTTTCCTTGAGAAAATATGATATTCACAGGCTGGTATCGAAATATTTGTCCGCTGTGACGGAGCATGCTATTTTTCATAAAAACACTTAGAATACTTCACGATTTATTTTTTAACTCATATCTTTCGTTATACCATAAAAAAGTACTTACTCAATGCAATGGACATATCATTTGCGGGTAACTTTCATTTCTGTTTGAAGCCCAATTACGCTGGGAAGAAAAGCTATTGAAAATGGCGCCGGGGTATCATACTTCAAAATGTACCATTTCTTGTTTAACTTTCTAATGGCACGATATAGTGACACGATAATATTTACACATGCTTTCAGCATAACTATGAAGGTATAAATGAGATGTTGATGTAGTTGGTCTTTTTAATTCTTTTGTAAAAAATAATACTTAATTTTTTTGTCCGCTGTGACGGAGCAGTTGCAAATGTGAACTGTGAAAATGTTCCGTCACAGCGGACAAAAAATATTGATATTATTTTTTATAAAAAAATTAAAAAGACCCAATGCATTAATATATCATTAATACATTCAGAGTTATGCTGAAAACATATGTTATAATATTATCGTGTCACTATATCATGCCATTAAAAAGTTAAAAAAGAAATGGTACATTTTAGAGTTTGATACTCTGGCGCCGTTTTCAATAGATTTTACTCCTAGCGTTATTGGACTTCAAACAGAAGTGAAGGTTACACGCAAATGATATATCCATTGCATGGAGTGAGTTATTATCTTTGATATAACGAAACATATGAGTTAAAAATAAATCGTGAAGCATTCTTAGTGTTTTTATAACAAATAGCATGCTCCGTCAAAGCGGACAAATCTTTCGATACCAGCCTGTGATATTGGCCTCGGGAAATATCATATTGACACTCGGGCTATCGTCCTCGGTCAATTTGATATTTTTAACTTCATCAAAAATTGATATTTTTCCATGTTCCTTGGAGACATTTTGATTGTTCTGCTGCAAATCTTGACTGATAATACATGACGTGTCGCAAAAAGGTCGCGCACGCATTTTTAACACCACAGAATGTGACGTTTTTTGAGAAAAATGTACACATATGGAAATCCTTTCGTCCTCCACATTTGCCTCCATATCTCAAAATATTTAAGGCGAATATCTCTGATATCGTATATGTATTAACAATGGGATAAGAGCATCATAAAACACGAATCAATTGATATTTTAGGTGAAATAAATAAACGTGTTGCGGTGCTTGAAAATAGGCGAATGGCGTAAATTAGCTCAATTTTAATGAATTTTGAAAACCTTTCGTCCTCCACTTCAGCAGAAAATATATACTTTTGCGAACAAAATCAACAATTTATTAATAAACTTGAGTTTAAGAGCAAAATAATCATGTATTTTTTGTTTAATGTACACCTGAAAAGTTGAAGGTAACAAAAAATGAGCAAAAAAGGTCGCTGTCAACAAATTCTATTTTTCAAACTCTATCACGCCACAATATGGGACGCTTACTAAAATTCATCCTTTGAAATAAAACTTCAATCTACCTTTATCAAGACGAAAAATAAGTTTAATAGTCATATATTGTTTGAGTTATGAGCGTTTAAAGACGAACAATAATTCAAAATGTAACGTGTCAACAGTGTTTTGGTAAAAAACTCTTTTTTAAAAAAGAACGCGCAGGAATCGTGAACGGAGTGTAGTTGATCTAAAAACTTCATCGAAACAGCTTTAAAATGATATATAACTTTAATTAGAATATTATCTTATAATCCGGGGAATCAAAGTTACATACACGCGATACCCTTAAAAAACAAATGCGCCACCTTTTTGCGACACGTCTATATGTTGATGTTATAATAAAATCAAGTTGGTGAGGGTAGGGTGGTGCAGTTTATTGTCACGTCAAAAGGAATAAAAAATTGAAAATATGAAATAAGTAATCAACAAACACCATTTTCTGTAGCTATAAGAAGTATGCTCAAAAATACATTTTTAGATACTGATCATGAATTACTAAGCTAAGGAGCACATCCTAAATTTTATGGATGTATATTGCAGTGTCTCATTTCACATTTTCTCAAAATATTGGCCTTTGCATGTTATGTACTTTTTGTGCCAGGTCGAACACTCTTAGCAATTTCTTCAACCGTGACTTGTGGAGTTTTTGCCTCCCATGTTTGGAGTTGTCATCCAGGGTCCAGTCATCACTTTTAAATCTCTTCTGCCAACCCATAATTGAAGTTATATCTGGTGTATACTCCTTCTAAACTTTCTTCATGGTAGCATAAGGTTGTGTGGCTCTGAGTCCAAGTGAAGTATGACATTGGGCATTTTCCTTACGTTGTAAAATCGAGTGTTTGCCAAAGGATATTCGATCGTTTTACTTTAATTATGCGATGAGCAATTTTACATTTATGTTTTGCAAATCGTCGCATCTTTCATTCATCCCCATTAACCCTCTACAGTTGTGCTATAATTTCAGCAAAACAAACATTCCTTTTAAAAAAATCGAAAATAAATTTTATAAATATATGAATTAAAAATAATGCGAATGTACTAGGCAGAGACATGTCATGTTATATACACACAGAGGCAATTATATCGTCGCGCCAATCATAAACACAGGGCAGATCTAGACTTTGTTTATCTGTTTACATAAGATTTTGGTCCAAGAATATCCGCGTATATCCGCTTTTGATTAAACATTTCTTGAAGAATAATTTATTTTATTCGCTGAGCTAGGTTTATTATTTGGCGTATAATATTATTATTTGCCGAAGATAACAGGATGTAGAATATTTTTTTTCCGAATAAGATACCCGTATCTACTCCTGTTATTCGGCTAATATTATATTAGGTTACACCTGTTTAAAACCCCTTATAGGGGCAAATAAGAGGCGTGTAGAAACCTACAATATTACTGATTTTGCCCAGTGTAATTTCAACCCATATAGTTAATTTGTCACCTAGTTGGCAACCACATTAAAAGGAATGGCCATATGCCTCAGCGATTTTATATGTACTTATAATGGTGTAATTTTTGCGCAATGAAATAAATGGCCATATACTATATTATTTATGCCAACACAGATCTATTATCTTTTGTAAACTATTTAATATGCAACTAGCAGGTATAGCGAAGTTACACAAAGGAGATTCTTGGTATAATCGTTTTCTGTATTACTAGTGCAAACTGGACAAGGGGAAAGAGGAGAATTCCCTCAAACATGAAAGCGTTTTTTGGTGACGTTGAATTGTCGGAAGAGTAATTTTGAGTCGTCGTCTCCTCCGTTGATATAGTATTTCAAGCATATTAGTCCAGTTACATACATACAGAATAATCATTCGATGATATGGCGGGTTGTATTTTCTGAAAACCTGAAAACCTGAAAACCTGATCGATGCATAAATGTCCAAATGATTGGTGCATATTACCATATAGTATAAAAAATCAACAGATAATCTTCTCGATGTAAAGTCAAATGATTGTTGGTCATATTTCATTGTTTAAGTATATCCAAAAAACAAAGGTAACGTTTCTGGTAAATCTCTTTAATGGAGAATATTTTTTATTATAGCATTTCAGATAAGTCATTTTCTAAATGAGTTCACTATGTGTTAAATTTGAAAACCATTTCCATTTTGTGGTTAGTCATTTTTGTTTTGTAGTTCTAAACTCTTTCACAATATTGCTCCATTCCTTCACTTTTCCACTGAATTTTCCACAAACCGTGAAACTCTCTCTCTGTGATGAAAAGATCAGTTGAATTGGGTCTGAAGTGAACATTGGTAATTGCCGAAAAGGGGCACTTTAATCGACATATCGGCGCACCTCCATTGGGACCAAAGACATACACGTAATTCGAACTATAGTCTGTAACTATAAGGTCCCCTTCATTATCAAAATCCATACCATCTGGCATACTCTTACCTATAAGTAGAAAGTACTATGTCATTCCCGGAAAGTATTTCCTCATGTACACAATGTAAACAATTGCATTGGTACATGTATATATCAATCATTTCATGTAACCCTCTCACTAGTCATTGAAGTAAATGCGTACAATAATTTATCAAAACGCTAAAAGGTTGTCGCATTTTCCAGGTTGATGTTTTACAAATCGCAGTACGTCGTGCGCGAGTGTTACAACACAATACAATTATTATAGACATTCATCTAATGTTTCTCAAAATATTAAGGTTACCCCTCCAAACCGACAGCTCCACAGTGCCTCCTTGTAATGATTTAACAGCTGTGAGGCAACAAAAAATAATTCGATGACCAGATAAGTAAAATAACTTGGCTATTTCGAATAAATTACAGTATGTAAAATATTGGAATTATGAATAAAACGCGTAAGACATAGCATTGTTAATAACACAACATAACATTGTTAATGAAGATTCTAAAACCCATTTTATGGGTAGTACGGTTGACTACATACAACGGTCCGAGAATATACATCAATTTTGAGCCAGTATGAGACATGTTAGGAGATTTGGTCAATGGTGAATGATATGTGCTTACGTAATTAGACGACAAAATATCATACTTACTAGGTAAATTTCCCCAAACTTGCTTGTTCTCAACCTGACAAGGACTAACAATATCGTAGCTCCAGAGAGGTGCAGTTGTATTAAATGACTCTCCGAAAATCAATTTCTTAGGAGTCCCATTATTGTCATGTTGTATAGCTATACCATTGGGGTACAAAAATCCAGTTGTAACCTTTATAATCTCATCAGTGGTCTTATTGTAACAGTACACACTTCCGAATGGCTCCTACATATAAGTAAACATAAACGAAATGGTTATACAAATAACTGTAAACGAAAATTACTGTCAAATTGTACATTTGATACTTTAGAAGGGCTTGACTTGAAATTTATTTAAATATTCCAATGTTCAATCGGCCATCGTTGTCGTTGTACGCGTTTGTTTTCGTCATTCTTGTAGTGGTAGTACGTCAAAAATCCAACTTTTTACAATTTGGAGTACACAATGCAAAAAATAAGACAACATGGTTGTAAATATATGATTTTGGTTTATAAGCTATAAGTTTGAGGTTATCTTTCTTATAAATATAAAAAAAATATGCAATTTGTGCATCAACGTTTTGTTTTGTTTCTCAGCTATTAATGAGATAAATGGTACAAATGAGTCACTTTTATATTAGAATGACAAATGCTTAAATTATGCTAGCTTTTTTACAAAATGGGTCTCGATACGTTTTGAGATTGATAAATCGTTATCAGTATCTTCCTAAAATTTGATCAAATCCAGCAGTAAGAAACAACCATCAGATAACTTGATGATAGCCAGCAGTAACGTAGCGGAAGAATTGTAAGGCGTTCGATTGCATATGACTCATATAGATCATTAGACATGCCCTTGAAATAAATGAAAATTATGTGACTGGGCAATAGCATTATTAGCCACGTCATATGATGAAAATCAATTAATTGTATTCAATCAGACATTAAAATACAACCCCTATTTCAATGGCTGATTTAATACCTGAATACTGTTAATTGATTTTGATCATATGACGTGGCTGATAATGCTGATGCCCAGCCACAAGCACACGTGCACGTGTTTAATGTATTACTTGTATAAATATATAAATAAATAAAAAAATAAAAATAGATCTCTGTAATATTCAATTAGGTATAAATCTCACCTATTTGTTATTGTATTATATTACTTACTATTTATTATGTTTTGAAAAACACGAACAATAATTTCTTGTTTGACCCCTTTGGATAATATGGATAAATTCTGGTAATAAAATGTTTTAAATGGTAAGGAAAACTAATATGTTCGCAATCATGAATTACCACACAATTTTGTTGATCTGCTTGGCTCATATTTGAAAATCAAACAAAATCACTCGTGTGTAATTACACGAATTAAACACCGACATTTTCAGTAAAAGTATTTTATAGTATGTCTGTATGCTTAAAATAACAGTTTGTGTCTTATAACACGTATGAAAGTTCGAATCAAAATATTTAAGTTTTTTGACCCCTTGTGATGAAAGACATTTTCGACCTGAAAGCCGGAAGTTTTTCCAGCTGATGGTATTAAAAGAATCAAAACATATGCACCTCCTTAAATATTGCTTCAAATTGCGCTAAAGTGTGCTATGAATGATAGCACACTTTGTGAATCTTTCATATTCGGAAGTCATGCGTCGAGCATCATTTCACAGAAAACATGTAGACATATTGACGTTATCCGAGAATCGAATGTAGATTAGTGTACCTCCTGCGAATCTGTGTAGTTTTCTAAAGTACTGAAAATTGGACCAGTGGGTGCAGTTATCCATAAATTGCCTTGATAGTCAAAAGTAAGATCATTACACCCTTGTAGAATGTTGTTATAGTTGTCTCTGGTTGCTATCTGAAATAGTAAATCATAATTATAGAATCAGCATCTTCGACGCATTTTACACATTTACAATGTTATTGCGGTCAGTTTCGTTCCTACATATCCATGGATTATTAGTTCGTTACCATCATTAAAAACCACATCGATCATCTGATTGATAGACAATAAAACCTTGAATTTAAAAATATAAAATTACTTGTTTGAAAGAGCCATCTTGTGTCAATTTCAGTAGACCCAATGTCGCATCAGCTACCCAGATATTGTTCTCGCTGTCACATTGCAATCCTACTGGATATCCTTTTAACCCATTAATCGATGGAGCAACAAACAGACTTGCCTACACATAAAAGCATGAAACAAGAACAAACTGGCACACTATCTTATACTATTCTTAATCCTCCTTTAAAATTATTTCAAGTTAAAAAGCACGACTCACAATGGTTAAGAGTAAGCCATATTGAATAAGTAAGAGTTGCATTGCTAAAGGCCATTATTTCGTTCACGGGCTTTTTTCAAACTTACATTTCTTTTTTCTAAGTCTACTTTGACAATTTCATTCCTAAAAGTTGCAACCATGTAAAAGTTTCCATCCTTTGTAAAGACAGGACCTTCAGCAGTATATTGGTCATCTACGATTTTCACAAAATCAGCTACAAAGGCAATTAATATTCAAGTTAATTTGTACATTAGTTTTTAACAAATGTACTTTTAACTGCATGGGCACTAGGACGTTTACCATATTTGTTTTATACAGTTTCGATTGAAGATTATATTACATGAATAAAAAGGTAAAGGGATACGTGGGGCAAAACATTGGTATTTAGCCTAATGTTTCAATATGTTTTCACGTTATAATGTAAAAAATACCATTTCGAGTAATTGTGTGAACAGTATCTTAAAATCGTGAAAAAGAGCTGCTCCTAGACGCCAACAAATATTTTCGATCACACCTTACTTTGGTTGGATGGTAATACACAATTTCTGCACTGATGAATACATCCACGTAGGGCTGCCTCAGCATTTTGACCCATTATAATAGAGTTCGAGCATTTATTCCAGCAGGACTTCTCGATGACATCATCCTTAAGAATCAATAACATGCTCTGATCTCGTAGGAGGAAATACAATAGGATAATCGGGAGAAAATTGGGTGTTCAAAATAAAAATCGGAAAATCGGGGTTAACATAGGTAAATTGATAAATACGTTTACGAATTGCATTTGGGCCGTTTACTATCTTTGTATATTAATGTATCCATGCTGTATCATCTGCATTAAACAAAGCAACCCTACTATCACACCAAACTAGTTCTCACTACATTCTCGAAAACGGGCTTCAACTGTGTACGAACGGACTGGACGTACTTAGAACCGTTTGGGGTCTATTTACAAACTTCATCGAACGTATTCGAATGGGTAGATACTCTAGAACTTAGAACATGCTCAAACTTTTCTCTTGGTCGTCACGTTCTACAATTAGAACGAGTTACAACCTGCTAACGACGAGCTGGAGGTACTATGAACGGAACCGTCGTACTTCAATCCAAATGGGACGTTTTTACAACGAGTTGAACTGTCTGAGGACGTATTGAGAACGAGGTAGAACTAGCCTTATTGCAAACGGGTTAAAACTGATTAAGAACGTATTTATCAACGAGTAAGCAAAAATATAGCTATCACACTAAGCAAGTTGCCACTGCGTTCTTCAAAACTGGTTTTAAACTGTGTGCAAAAATATAGCTATCACACCAAGCAAGTTGCCACTGCGTTCTTCAAAACTGGTTTTAAACTGTTAACGAACGGAATGAACGTAGCTACAACGTTCTACGGTCTGTTTACGAACTACATGAACTTTCCGGACGGGAAATGTGATTTGTCGATTCAAAATTCGACGGCGACCTTATCGTTCTGTAATCAGGTAATGATGACCTTCTAGACTAAGGGGCGCGTAATACGACGTTGTACACCGACGTGGTGCGACCTGAACTAACTGCGAATGAGATGGACGTATTGAAGACTGTTTATGAACGAAGTAGCTAATTTTTTTAGACATATTTCCCGACCACAGCCAGATTGAGCCCGTTTTACGAAGTTTTCGTAGGACTGGCAAGAACGGGTAAGAACTAGTTTAATGTGATAGGGGGGTAACACACAATGATTAATTAATGTGAATAAAGAATGATCTCAGAATGATCGATTGAATTAAATTTTCAAATAGTTTTAAGAAGATTAAATAAGCAAACGGTATGTGAAGTAAGCTCGGTTTATCACAAGAATGCCTTTGCATATTTGTTCCAACTTTCATTGTAATGTCTTCTATATGCAAGGGCATGTCATAGACAAATCAGGATTTTTGAACGAAAATCGTGTGGGTACCATTTAAGAATCGGGAGTTTTTACTGAAAAATCTGGATTTCTCGTTAACAAATCGGGAGTTTTGAACACAAAAATCGGGATATTTCATGAAAAAACGTGATCATTTGCGAAAAAAATGGAATATTTTCCTTAAAATCGGGATTTTGAAAAATTAATCAGGATGAGCAATAAAAAATCGGTTTGTCTTCCGATTTAAATCGGGATTTGACAGGTGAGTTATATGAAAAAAGCTGGAAATTGTTGGATTCTCCAATTGCCAACTCTTCCAATTTTTGAAATCTCAAAACGGTTCGACACACCCAGTCTTTACGTTTTCCCATGGTATTTTACAATAGAATAACAGATTCTCTATAGCTATGGGAATGCCAATGGGATCAATCGAATGTATTTTCAAAATCGAACATTTTCTTAAGTATGCGTCTTGTACAATAATTTTTATTAATATATTTAGACAATGGATTTTGGAAATAGAAGAATATTATTATATTTGCCCAGAGAGAAATTGGAATACATGTACAATATATAGTTTCAATGATAAAACGTTTTATAAACAATTATTTAGTAAACATACTGTTTCAATTCTGCATACTCTCCAACAACCTGCCAGGCCAAGCTTTTTACATTTAGATTTACAAGGCCCATATTTCAGTCCATTACCTAATCCTAAAAAGGAACAAATGAAAAATATGCTAATCTAATTAAAAGAAAGTCACGGGTGTTAAGCCACGATGATAGCATGAGCACATGCTTTGAGGATCCGCGTTGTTTGAACCTACCGCCGAGCTCATTTATACATTAAGCCCCGTTACACAGTCATGATAGCGCCGAGCAAGCTCATTGCATCATCGGGTCTGCTTTGCCCCCGTGAAAGTGGTGCAGTGTTATATTTAGTGTCGTTAATGATAGATGTTCAACTAATTCATAGTTGACGCTACAGAAAAAGCACTTGTTAGAGTTAGTCTTTCAAGTGTGATTCGTTATCCATGTCCAAGTATCAAGTATCTGTAGTTACTTACCGAAGTCTACAGCAATTATTACAAAGTACATCGCGAGAAGGTTGCATCCCATGTTCAGTTACTATTTTACATTTATTCAATTGATAACATATACACTGTTAAAATTTTAAGTATATGATATGTACTGTAAACTATACTATTCTAGTACTTCCTTTTCAATCGATATTGCTTATTTTTTGTGACACAGCCGGATGAATTTAATTTTTCAACCTTTGTTCTTGTTTGATAATGATTCAGTATACATGCATTAACAAATTGGAAAAGGATACAAAAGTTATTACTATATTCGCACACATACGATTTGTTTGATTAGTTATGATTTATCATAATATATTTTGATTCGTATAGTATGCATTTATTTTTTCATATAATAAAGGCCTTGGGCCCATAAGCATTATAGTATAGTATACAATTTACATATTTTAGATGACATTATGTAATATTTCTTAGTTTTGTGATTATTCAAGATCTGATAGAAATAATGATCTCAATTTGAGACTATGATAAATAAAACATGCAAAAATACAAGTCAAATTATTTCATCATAATTTGATGTCATTGATTTATAAAATTCATTTATAATGAACAAGGGGGGTAGATAGTTATTCCTAAAAAAAAGTTCATACAATAGGCTCTCTATGATAAAATGGAATTCATATTTTTTATTAAACAGTACTTACAACGACGTAGTTCTCTTGGAATGTTTTCTCATCTTCCTACTTCAATTTGCAAGTTATGACCTACAAATCTAAAAGTTGTTAATGCTTTTATGTGCTTGACACGTTAAATACAAGATAAATATTTTTCACTTCTTACTCGATCTTATACATACAATAAAGACGAAGCTTTGCTGAGTTTTTATCCATCCACATTCTTTTAACCTTTGCTTAAAATGTAACAAAGATAAATCTACATTTCCAACTCCTTGAGCTAACCACACATATCCAAAACCTAGAATATTCAATCATATGACCTCTTTAATTTTGGTTGCCCAGGTTAATCTGCCTACTCCATCTAAATTATATAGCATACTGTAAACACGCTTGGGATATTTTGTATCTTCTATCATCATAATTTTTATCCAAAATGTTATACATCTTGGTTTATATAGTACTTCCATAGGATATCTCCCTGGTTCACCAAGTACTGTCAGTTGCATTTTGGGTATTTCCCCTAACTTCAGTAAAAATTACAAAGATTTGTTTGAACCTTTTCAATTGAGTTTACATTATAATAGCCATGTTTGATCTATATAGCAGAACTGGTGTTGCCATACTGTCAAAAATGTTTGAAGGTAACAGTTTGATCAATAGTTGAACATTTTCTAAACATTACATAAGCATATTACTTGAGTTTCAAGCTTGAGCAGCAAGCAATTCTGTTGCACCAGACCACCTTAACTTTGGTGAAAACACGATGTCATTGCTAAAATACCATTTTTCACTCTCTTTAAGATCACCTCCTCTTCTAAATACCATTATTTTTGTTTTCGGCATATTTTCTTTCATTTCATACAGCTTACAAAAGCTTGACAAACCATTGAATTGTTTCTGTAACCTAGGTACAGTATCAACTACACGAGCAGGGTCATCTGCATAGAGCATTTCAGAAAATTCGGCAAACACTCATCTACAAAAATACCTTATGGTTGTGACAAATAACAATTCCTCCGAGTGTAATTTTATATTAACAAATGAAATTGGCTTCAGTTTGCTATACGTTTGGGAAATGCATTTGAGACAAATCTCTCAGATCAATATACTTCTACATCATCAACCCCTTATCAAAAAAAATTGTGCGAATCAATTGAAGTTAAGTTTGAAAACAGTCCTTTCATGTATCTCATTAAACGATATTGAATTGAATACCTAGTCATAAATGTTTAATTTGAAAACATTGTAGCTAGAAAACCTTAAACAACCAATATCCCCTAAAAGTATGGAATTTTTTCTGCATCTTTATTCGATTTTCACACGTTTGTATTTGATTACAACCATTCGATATTCCACTCTATTAAAACAATTCGAAACACGTAATAATTTTTTTTGTTTTTACACATTTATATTTGATTTATGTACCTAAATATGCGGTAAATGCACTTGTATATGCGGTTTATGTTATTCAGTGTTTGGTAAAATATCACATATTTAAGTCCATGTACACACACGAACAAAGACGGTTGACACATATATTTAGAACACGCATCAAATATAAAATACACTTTAGAACCAAACAATGTTCATTTACCGAACAATCATAGAGTACAAAATAGCACGGACATATAGTGACTTACCCCACATAATTTATGACATTACTTTCGCATAAAAGCGTGTGGGGTAAGTCACGTGACTTACCCCACATAAATGACACATATAGCTGCATGTAGCATAAAACCATTCGGTAAATCATGTGACCAGTGACGTACAAATTATTTCAAAATGGATAAGCGAGGAAAAAGAATTTGAACATGATTCATATTCACAATTCAGAGGGGAAATTGAGAAGTTATCAGACCATTGCATTTGGCATGCGGCTACAAGCGATCCTTTCTTAATAGAAGATACGTGTTCGAAATTGGAGAATCACACCAGAGCTCTTTGAATATATAGATGGCGCAACCGAAGTCACGTGACTTACCCCACATCAAAACAGTGAACATTGGTTTATATAAAATCATTTGGTAAGTCACATGACTTACCCCACAAATGAATATGTTTACAACAAATGAATATGTTTACCCAATACGAATGGTATTTGGCATCGCACTTATTTAAAATACTTATCAAATTTATATTTGATCGGGTCGAATACAGTTTTGAAGTAATTACAGTAATATAACGTTACCCAAATAAAATAACAACATGGAACTCGTTAATTGGTGACTGATTGTGTTTATTGATCATTTTTCACAAATTATAAATTTGATTAAGAGATGAGCTACAGATCTCGTAATATCGTTTGCTCAAGCTAAAAGCTTGTTAACACTTTAAGCTATCTCCCAATACTGTTTCATTCCTTTGTATTTCCAATCTACCTTCCATAATTCATCTCCAGTGATATAGAGCTCCTTTGAGTCTGGCCTAAATTGAACATTGGTTAAATGCTTAAAGGGTAACTTTAATTGACACGTAGGAGTACCTCCGTTATTGTCAAAGACGTACAGTATACTAGAGTGATAGTCCGTTACTAAAAGATTCCCCTTTTCATCAAAGTCCATGCCATCTATATAACTATTGGCTGGAAGTAGAAAGCAAAACATATTGAGATGTATATACATATACAAATTGATAATGACTTATTTAATAACAATTTTCAGCAATTACATTCTCCTTTTATAGATGTTCACATGACATTGTTCAAGATATAAGACTAACCAGGCAGATTTCCCCAAACTTGCTTGTTGTCGATTTGACAAGGGCCAACTATATCAAAGCTCCATAAGGGGGCCGTTTTATTGTAAAACGACCCGAAAATTAGTTTTGCCGGAGTCCCGTCGCTATTATGTCGCACTGCTATACCATTGGGGTATAGGAATCCAGTAGCAAGTTTAATAAACTCGTTCGTTGTCATATTATAGCAGTAGACACTCCCAAATGGATCCTTGGAATGATGTGAATGAAATATATATTAATAAATAAAACAATAGTCGTAATAGCACACTCAGTATATAATATTGCATGTCAACCCATGTTCACAAAGGGCCAACTGTCCAACTGATTCACCTAAATTCAATACTTCAATACCAAAAGAATCCGTTTTAGTTGAATATGCCTAATGGGGGACGGCTATATGTGAGCACCACGATCACTGCCGAAATTGGAAAAGCGCACACGTATTCTTTGCCAAACGGAGGATTAAATAGTACCCAGATCAGCCAAGAACAGAGGTCTTGTTATCAGAAATGCAATATTGGCTAAATTTTTTCACAAATTATAAAATTGTGAAAATAATATAATATGATAACAATTGTTATTAGATAATCCAGTGCCGCAAATGACTCGCTATCCCCGGACCTCGGCAATGGAGAGATGTTGTAGATACAGTATGAATACCTGTGAAAGATCGTCCAATCTTGATGAGCTTTGATAATTCAAAACAATTGATGTCACAAGTAAATCTCATCTTGAACGTGTGACTTATATGACATGCAAGATGTTTATTTCATATTAAATACGTAATATTGTAATGTCATAAATAGTACCTTCTCTGAATCCGTAAAGTTTTGTGGGGCAATAGGACCATATGGTGCTGTAATCCATAGATTACCATGATAGTCAAATGTAAGGTCATTTAGACCCTGAAGAGGTTCATTCTGATTATCTTTAGTTGCTACCTAAAATAAGGGAAAATAGAAATGTTGGTGGTTGCGCATGGATAATTTATAATAAATATACGCTCATCTCCAAATTAAAGGTTTGGTAACTATATTGCTTGTTAGATTCCCGACCGACAAACTGTCATGGGAGGGGAGGGGCTGTCTCATTACTCGGATCTACTCATGAAGCAAATAAATCTTGACTGATACTGCATTGATGTATAGGTAGATATACATAAATAAAAAATGTATTCATGTACATCAAAACGGATTGATACAATTATTGTAAGCTTAGTGTAAAACTAAAAAATGTTTAATAAATAAAATAAAAATTAATTTTTATTTATACACATTATATATAGATATACGTAACTATGGTGAATACATAATTCGGGGTTTTCATTTTAATGTCACTACAAAAAGTGGTAACACATTGATATGTAACATTGGGCAGTTCCCATTGATTTACGTTGGAAAGTCGATGTTAAAAAAATCAGATTTGTCATCAATTACTTAGAATTGTATTTGTAGAACAAATTGAGGAAAATTCAATGGAAGCATTGCGACACTAAATAAAAATTTAAAGTGCAACCCCTAATAGATTAACATGTTGGTTCTCATCTAAAAAATATCTAACAGAAATATTTAAGGTACGATAAACATTCAAACTAATATAGATCAACAGCACTGGTTAGCTCGACATTTTAATAAAATATTCTTAGGAGAAAAAAATGGTGAATTACGAAGTAAAGTATACACCATAGAACATGTTACCTCATGACATGATGAACTGAATATATCATAAAATGAATCTTATCTTCTTTCGCGACGTAGAATGTTCTGAATCCCCCTCACTCCATGACGACAAAATATGGAGTCTTTCTCACAAAAAGTGTCATTTCTGTTTCAAAATGTTATTTTTCGTAAATTTTGCTTGTATCTACGATCTGAAAACGTTACCCTTAAAATATTAATGACTCGATCATTCAATCATATTTTGTATAATTAAACTTTGTTTCATTCAATCAAGTTTAATTGGTCTATGCCAAATGATCATGATGATGCCGGTCTTGTCTTTGGAGGCAAACTTGAACGCATCTGGTGAAGTATTTGCTCCCTTTTTCCTTCTTATCTCTTGTTTCAACTCTGATGTTTCTAGGGATTAATGCTATAATTGAAATAGCCGAACAATTGTTTGGGCTTCATATTTGGTGATTTTTATATATTTTGGCATTTGGATTATGTTGTATAAAATGGCAATGAAATCGTGACCATCTGGAATAGACCAATGAAACTTGATGTAATAAAAGATCGAGATCATTAAAGAAGGTTTAATTTCCCTAAATAAGCCGAAGTTTGGGTTTTTAAATGTCGTCTTTTTTCCGCGTGACTGTTCTCTGATATATCTTACGCTCTTACTAAGGTTTACACCTTGTATGTTAGAATGATGTTAATAACTTTCTTATATCCTTCTTACTTGTTCGAAAGAGCCATTTTGTTTCACTTTCAATAAACCAAGTCTCATATCAGTAACCCAGATATTGTTCCCGGGGCCATTTTGTAGTCCTAATGGCATTCCATTAAACCCATCCACTGATAGATTAACAAACGGAATAGTCTGCAAAAATGGCAAATAAAATCAACATGTATCCTCACAATCACATGCAAAGGATTGTATAGTTACGTATTTTTAGAAATGTCCACAATCATACCCTGACAACGTTGTAGTCAGTTACCGTTCTCAAAAAGGGGTATTCCCAAGGTGAAACTTTTTACACCATTTCCCGAAAATGTGTCAGTCCCTATTTGTCTTATGATGTAACCCATATGTACTGTGTAAACAAAAACAAAATGAACATTTAATGTTTACAGGTTCTTATTGGCATTTAAAGGCTATGATCTCACGCAGGGATGATAAAACGTACTAATGACTGGTCACATGACCCAACTGGTGATGCATCTAATGGCATTTTGCCTTACAAATGCTATGATGTATTGCTACTGAGATTGTCCCCGTCGCAATACAGAAAATATTGGTACGGAGGGAACAATCTCAGTAGCAATACAGAGGATCACACGATAAAAACGTTATTGAATGATTTGTTCAAAGTGCAATACAGGATGTATTCTGTCTCGATATTCTGTATTGGCACTCGACTTCATCTCGTTCCAATACGGAATTTCTCGAGCAGAATATATCCTGTATTGCACTTCAAATCATCCAATAACTTATAATGTTTTCAGTAGCATATATATATATATACTGTATACCTCTGTAAACCTCTATCTCTGTAACTGTATGAAACCTGTTTACGGGTTTAAAGGGTTTGATCCACATTTTTGCCGCGTATTATAGGAATATCCGATGGTTTTGAAAAAATATCATTTATATCCATGAGTGGATATTGATATCTTCATGAGTGAGCGCAGCGAATGAGTGAAGATATTTGTATCCATGAGTGGATATAATTGATATTTTTGAAAAACCATAGGATTGTCCGATAGTTTAAAAGTGATATTAGATGGTTTGTCAACTTTTTGCTAAAATATGATATCTTGATCCACATATCAAATATATCTTCATGTGATATTCGATCTATATCCTTGCAACCATGTGATAAAATATCATAGTCAACAGAAATTGTGGCATGACAGCGTCACATTTTATTATTTTAAGCTGTCCATATTTGAATTTGAGTATATCATTCATCATATAAATTGATTTATTGATCCTGATGTTAAGTAATTGAGAAAATACGTACCTGTTTATTTTCCAAGTCAACTCTGCGGATCTCACCCGCTGTATACAAAACAATGTAAAGATTCCCATCCTTTGCGAAAAGTGGACCTTCCAAAGGTTCTTTTTCCTTAAGTATTTTCAGAAGACGTGCTAAAAAACAATCATAATTAAATTGGTGAGAAAAATGTAATTCACGAAAATGTTCTGCACGAACTAGAATATAACAAGACGTTCAAGTACACAGTCGTATATACTAAGCACTATTTCATTCTATGGAGGGCAATACCTGTCCATCTTTCAATGATTTTTGAAGTATGTATTGCCCGCAGCCCGTAGGGCGAGGGAAATACATGCTGCAAAAATCATTGAAAGTGTAACAGGTATTATGCCCGAACATAGAATGACATATTTGTTTTATTGTACCGATGCTGGACATTCTATTCGCTCACTTTGCATTTCAAAGAAATATAAAATATTTGTTTCAACCTACAGACATTTATTTTAATCAATAAATATATCATGAACCCATAATTTTACATAATTACGTTCAAGTATCGTTGTATTTTAAACTTTTATTTTCGTCCAATGCAGTTGTCAGAATTCCCCGTCTTTTATAATTCAAAAATTGAGGGAGCTGTGAAATACGCTATTAGTATTTTTGATCACATGGAGCTGAATCAACCAATCAATACACACAATTTCTATTAATGATATGATGAAGTTGTTATTTACTGTTAGTAAAGGCAAAATACTTAAACTTCAGGCTGGTGTGTTAGTATATTCTTTATCTATTGATGTCGGACGTTAAATTCTTGTACATATAACCCATGTTCAATGCTCAAAGCTGACGTTGTCAAACTTTTGAAAACTTAGTTCAATGTTCATGATCATAAGAGAGCTTTAAAGTTACTTTTGTTAGAAGCAAGATCACATGTTTTCCCAACTCTACACTGTTGAATACATCCGCTGAGGTCATTTGCAGCGTTTGGTCCATTTATAGAGACTGAACAGTTCTTCCAACAAGGAAAGGCAATGCTATCACCCTAAAATGTCAACATATTTTCAGTTTTTTTTTTATTTTGTTAAAACAATTATAACATATCATGCAAGGCTGACTTGATCCAAAGAGGTTTGTAAAAATGTAAAGGGCCTGCAACCGACATTTGATGCTGTACTACCATTATAAATTATGCTATTATACTTCGCAAAGTGATATCTGAAATTACAATACGGGTTATCAATTTTGGCTGATTTGTGACTTCTCAAATTATGACTTCGCTAATTGTCGCTTCTCAAATCCACATTTCTTATTTCTACAGACGCTTACTCTTTAAAAACGTCGTTAGCCGACGGTAGCTCCAAACCCTTGTAACCCCACCCACTACACACAATTTTTAGAGCTTATGGTGGAAACACTTGGATCAACCCCACTCAAATAACTGTCAGACTTGCTCATTGAGTATCGTTTAATCAAAATTATTAAACTTACCAAATTGAATGTTTTGTCTAATTAGTCATCTGAGCAAGCAAAGAGAAGACATAATAAGCATTGCAGTTCCTGTGTAATTAGTCGATTTTCAATAGATTAGTTTGTACTCAGTACGTAATAAATGTATATTTTCATGTCAAAATAGATTATACAGCAATGTAAATATTGTGTACGAATAAATAGTTATGACTGTTTATCACCTTTTTTAAATCGACGTTCATTTCCGCTTGTTTTTCAAAACGCAAATGAAAATGTACTTGCAAGTAATTTCGATGAAAAATATGAGGCCATTGTAATTTCTTGTATAATTCCGTTTTCCAGATGCAACCTTAAAATGATTAATATTGACATACTGTTGCGATTCTGCATATCCTAAAACATTTTCGTAGACCCAGAGTTCTGCATTTGACTTTACACGGACCATATTTTGGTGGAAACCCTAAAACTGAAATAAAGGTAGCCATCTTATGAACAATATTTTTTAAAACGCATTTTACTTGCGCATGCAGCAAGTTTTTGATCCTGTTTTTGAAAAATAAAGGTAAACGACAAGGTGGTCTATTTGATAAAACCTCGATTTTCCACTGGTCAACATTATATTAGTCCTAATAAAATAAAAGTACAAGATTAGGGGCAAATCAGATTTTTGGATATGTATTCGGTAAAACATTTATCAAAAATAATTTCTGAGTAGAGAATTGAATTTTACTTTCTGCATGTTTGGTGTTAAGCTTACTTTGTGAGAATTACAGATATAGAGCATCGACGTATTTTTGACAACTCATTTTTCTTTCGTTTCAGGCTTTGAAAATAAGAGTTCAAACAGACATGAGAAAAAAGACTGGTCCTTAACTTTTTTTGAGGAGTATATTTCAAATAACAAAGCATCACGTCAACTCTCGATGAAAATAAGAAATATCGAAATCGACACAAACTGTCTGCCATCTTTATTGCAAAGGTTACGGCCGTTACATTCGCTTGATACTGGACAGTGTGACACACAGCTACTAACCTGGAGGAACTTACAAGGGACCAAGCACGATAAAAGTTCATAAAATCCAGGGAAGTAAGTGTTCGGGATGTTATTGGGATTTATATGGGGATATATAGGCGGTACAGTAAAAAGGTAAATAACTTGCGGTGATATAATTAATATCTGGGGTGAGCGGGAGATATATACAATATACAGGGTGGTCCAAAAATGGGACACTAACATTAAGGGGAGATGATTCTAGATCTATTTTCCTTTAAACATTTGACACTCTTGTATATTGCTTGGAGTCCCATCCTGTTGGAAAATACAATATTACTAAATGGACTTATTGGGTTTCTGTTTATGTAAATCAAGCTGACAAAGAACTTGATTTTTGCAAGTTTTGGAAAACCTGTTTTGAAACGAAAATTATGTCATTTATATAACGGAGGCTGGTTGACAGACATATTAATACATTTTGAAATTATGATATACAAAATTAAAGATAAGTTTTCCTATCCACTGGTATATTATATGACATGTTTTCATGAAGAAAATCAATATTTATTTTTGAAATACGAGTGTCCCATTTTTTGTGACCACCCTGTACATATCCCGCTGTATCCACCGATGTGTATCTCTCGTTAAGAATTTTAAACTGGGAAAAATATGCATGATTTCATTGTTATCATTACACTAGGGTTCAATAACCTTTATAGTGTAATTAGTCCTCATTTACTTAGTACAGGATAAATCTATTGGATAGATATTAATTGCATATATAGTCCATGGTATGACTTCCGAATGTGAAGGATCCGTAGCACACTATAGTGCAGTAACATTTGAAGCAATATTTAAGGAGGTGCATATGTCTTGATTCTTTTAAAATACCATTTGCTGCAAAAACTTCCGGCTTTCAGGTCGAAAAATGTATTTCATCACAAGGGGTCAAAAAACGTAAACATTTTGATTCGAACTTTTATATGTTTTATAAGACACAGACCGTTATTCTAAGCATACGAACAAAAATTAGATTATGATAATGTGCAAATATACTATAATTTTACTGAAGATGTCCGTGTTTAATTAGTGTTATTACGCAAGTGTGTTTTTCAGATTTTGTTTGATTTTTCAAATATGAGCCAAGCAGATTCAACAAAATTGTGTGAAATATTTAGCTAATTTATACTTGGGAACATATTAGTTTTCTTACCATTTAAAACATTTTATTACCAGAATTTTTCCATATAATCGGAAGGGGTCAAACTACAAATTATTGTTCATGTTTTATAAAACATATTACAATAACAAATAGGTAAGATTTAATTCAATGTTACAGAGGTATTGGAATGTTCATATATTCCAAGGGCATGTCTAATAATCAATTAGAGTCATATGCAATCCAACGCCTTACAATTCTTCCTCGACGTTACTGCTGGCTATCAACAAGTTTTATCATGGTTGTTTCTTCTTTGACCTTACCGCTGGATATCATCAAATTTTAGGAAGATAATGACAACGATTTCTTTCAAATATTCATGAATTCGACCAAGTCTTATTGGTTGTTTTATAAGCATCTGAGCTATATCTAACTACGAGAAATAGAATTTTAGCTGTAGTCCCAATTAGTCAAGGAAGAGCAATAGGCCCTCCTTTATTGATCATGTTCACCGTGGAATAAGAGTCCATATCTCAAAACGTATCGAGACACATTTTGTAAAAAAAACTAGCATAATTTAAGCATTTGTCATTCTAATATAACAGTGATTCATTTGTAGCATTTATCTTAATTAATACCTGAGAAACAATACAAAAGGTTGATACACTGATTACATAATTTCTTGGTATTGATAAGCAAAATAACCTCAAACTTATAGCTTAGAAAACTGAATCATATATGGAAAATCATTTTGTATTATTTTCTGTTGCGTTGTGTACTCCAAATTGTGAAAAATTAAGATTTTATTTTTTGGTAATTTTTTGACCTCTGTTAATGGCAGGCATAATTCAGCCTAAAAGCCGGAAGTATATGAAATGGTAATAATAAAAATTATTAGCGAACATATGAAGGTATTGTAATATTAGGTCAAATATTGCTGCGCTATAGTGTGCTACCAGCTCCTTTATTAGACGTCCTAGAGATTTCATACCATAGACTAATACTGATTTTTAGAGTTTTAAAAAGCAAGAAATATTAGGAATTTTAAATTGAGATGAACTATTCATGTTTTGATTGTAATTCTTACAATAACGTTTCGTAACATACAAATAATTGGATATATCAATTATTTAATGCTCGGTTTTAGGTCCAGGGTATATGAGGAAAATACAATGTACTAGTATCTTCCCAAGGAACCATCTTGACTGGGGGTGAATATATTCTATCCCATGATACCACAACTTCCCCTTAAATATTTTTGATGATGAAAGTGAATCGTATTTTCCCGCTCAACCCCGCTCCTGAAAATCGTATTCACCTCCCAATCCCGCTCATAAAAAGGGTAATTTCACCATCATGCTCTGTACTCTAAGAGCGAGGAGGAAAATTCTTAATAAATGGAGTATAGTTGGTTTGGCAGCATTTTCAGTTAGAGGGAAGTCTTGGATGAAAATTCCACCTAGGTGATAGGTTCACAGAGTGGTACATAATTCTTTTTTTTCAGGGGTTAGCCCCCCACCCCCCAAAAACACCCTGCCCCCGGAAAATAATTTTTTCATCTTCAATAATTTTAGATATCTTGATATTTTTAAGTTACATACATAGACATTATATATATGAATCATTTGCAAAATAAAAAATGCCAATTACTCCTCCAGAATTTGAAAAAAATACAAAGTATGTACCCCAGGGGGCAAATTCGTGACCCATTTTCTTACTTTTTAGAGCCTCACTTTTCAATCAGACACTGGAAGACATTGAAAAATTTCATGTGAAGTGCCCAGTAGCAGGGCTATAAGCCCTGAAAGGTTCAAACTAATTGAATCAGTAGGAGCCGAGAAAAAAATTGTTGATTTTTTGAAAAATTTGACATTTTTGAGAGGGGTGATTTTGTGTATGACTATAGCTGATGCCTATGGTTTCCAGATCTATCCCTCTTTGATGATAAATATGGTTTTGAAGTATGGAACTAAGATGTAAAAAATAATTAAAATGGGTTTTAAGGAAGTTTAATGTATAAAAAAGTTCAAAATTCAAAGAATTGTACGATATCAGGTCTGAATTTACAAATTTTAGGTAAGACCTTGGATGAGCCTTTGATTTTTTACATCTGTCCCCTTTTGATGATATTAATGGCTTTGTAGTGTGGAACTAAGATGTACAAAATAATTTAGATGGTTTTTAAGAAGGTTTAAGGATTTTAACAAGTTCAAAATTTGAAGAATTGTACAATATCAGGTCTGAATTTACGAATTTCAGGTAAGACCTTTGGTGAGCCATATATTTTTCACATCTGTCCCTCTTTGATGATATTTATGGTTTTGTAGTGTGAAACTAATTAGTAAAAAATAATTAAGATGGATTTGAAGAAAGTTTAAGGATTTTAAATGAGTCCAAAATTTGAAGAATTGTACAATATCAGGTCTGAATTTACGAATTTAAGGTATGACCTTGGATGAACCTTATGTTTTTATATCTGTCCCTCTTTAATGATATTTCTGCTTTTATAGTAACGAACTAAAATGTAAAATATAATTTAGATGAATTTTAAGAATGTTTAAGGACTTTAAGGATTTTAAGAAGTTCAAAATTTGAAAAATTGTATAATATCCGGTCTGAATTTACGAAATTCAGGTAAGACCTTTGGTGAGCCATATATTGTTTACATTTGTCCCTCTTTGAAGATATGTATGGTTTTGTAGTGTAGAACTAAGATGTAAAAAACAATTAAGATGGATTTTAAGAGGGTTTAAGGATTTTCACATGTTCAAAATCTTGGCGCATTGTACAATATTAATTCGGCAATTAACACTACATTTCAAGTATAACCTTGGTTGGCTCTAAACATTTAGAAAAAATTGTTGACATGGGGTCCCAATTTATAATTTTCATGGGGACTTCACTTGAAAGAAAACATATTTTTTAAAATAAAAACCACTGTATTTATGCCCAGAAAGTACTCATGGTGAAATATATGACCGTCTAAAATCACTTGCCATACTGCACATGGACCTTTTTGAATATTTCTGGCTTATGTCATTCCTTTTCATGTCTATTTGCTAATAATCCCCAAAAGTGCACCCTTTATTTCAGGAAAACTAAAGATTTCTACAATAATTCTTATTATTTTGGTAGAATTTAAACATTTTTCACCCATTTTTGCTTTTTGAATCCATTATTACTTCATAAATTTTTAACACATCGTGAATCTTTTTGGAGATATTGTATTTGAGATTGTAAGGAATAGATTGGTACATGAATTGTACATGTTGCTTGTAATTTTGTCACACCCATAGATCTGATTCTGCCTTTAAACTTAACACATTGTGAATCTTTTTGGAGATATTGTATTTGAGATTGTAAGGAATAGATTGGTACATGAATTGTACACGTTGCTTGTAATTTTGTCACACCCATAGATCTGATTCTGCCTTTAAACTTCCTTAAAACCCATTTGAATTATGTTTTACATCTAAGTTCCATACTACTAAGCCATATATATCATCATAGAGAGATACATACCTGAAATTCATTAATGTCAGAAGATATGATATTGTACAATCTGTCAAGTTTTGAACAGGTTTAAAACCTTAAGCCTCCTTAAAACCCATCTAAATTATGTTTTACATCTTAGTTTCATACTACAAAACCATATATGTTTTCATAGAGAGATATATGTAAAAAAAAGAATAAGGGCCATTCACAGTTATACCTAAAATTAATAAATTCCAGACCTGTTATTATACAATGCTTCAATTTTTTATATTGTTTAAACCTTAAGCTTCTTTAAAACCTGTCTAAATTTTGTTTAACATCTTAGTTCAACACTACTAAAGCATATATGTCATCAAAAAGGGATAGATGTAAAAAAAATAAGGCTCACCTAAAAACCCAATATTCATTAATATCAGAACTTGTTAATTTGAACTTGTTTAAAACTTGTCTAAATTTTGTTTTACATCTTAGTTCAACCATGGGCTTTCAACTAGAGACTACTAAAGCATATATGACATCAAAAAGGGATAAATGTAAAAAAACATAATACCTAAAATTCATTAATATCAGCTCTGATATTGTACAATTTGTGAAAATTTGAACTTATTTAAAACCTTAAACTTCTTTAAAACCCATCTTGATTATGTTTTATATATGAGCTCCACACTACTAAATCATATATATCACCAAAAAAGGATAGATGTTAAAAATATAAGGGCCAAGCAAGGTTATACTTTAAATTTATTAATTTCAGATCTGATATTGTACAATACGCCAATGTTAAGCTTCTTTAAAATCGATGTAAATTATACATAGTTCCACACAACTAAACCAAATATATCATGAAAAGGGGATAGGTGTTAAAATCATATGGGCTAACCAAGATTATACTTGAAATTCTTTAATTTCAGATCTGATATTGTACAATACGCCAAGATTTTGAACTTGTTTAAAATGTTAAGCTTCTTTATAATCAATGTATATTATACATATTTCCACACAACTAAACCAAATCATGAAAAGGGGATAGTTGTTAAAATCATATGGGCTAAACAAGGTTATACCTGAAATTCATTCATTGCAGACCTGATATTGAACAATTCTTCAAATTAAAATCCTTAAACCTTCTTAAAATGCATCTAAATTATTTTCTACATCTTAGTTCCACACTACAAAACCATACATATCATCAAAGAGGGATAGGTGTAAAAAAATATAAGGCTCATCCAAGGTCTTATCTAAAATTTGCAAATTCAGACCTGATATTGTACAATTCTTCAAATTTTGAACTTGTTAGAATCCTTAAACCTTCTTAGAATTCATCTAAATTATATTTTACATCTTAGGTCCATACCATAAAACTATAACTGTCATTAAAGAGGGACAGATGTAAAAAATAAAAGAGTCGTCCAAGGTCATACCTATAATTCGAAAATTCAGACCTGATATTGTATAATTCTTTAAATTTTTGAACTCATTAAAATCCCTTAACACTCTTCAAAACCATCTGAATCATTTTTAACATCTTAGTTCCATATTACAAAACAATACATATCATCAAAGATTGACAGATGTAAAACATAAGAGCCATCCAAGGTCTTACCTGAAATTTGTAAATTCAGACCTGATATTGTACAATTTTTCAAATTTGGAACTTGTTAAAATCCTTAAATCTCTTAAAATTCATCTAAATTATATTTTACATCTAAGTTTCACACTATAAAACCATAAATATCATCAAAGAGGAACAGATGTAAAAAACAAAAGGGTCGTCCAAGGTCATACCTAAAATTGGAGAATTCAGACCTGATATTGTACAATTCTTCAAATTTTGGACTCATTGCAATCCCTAAACACTCTTCAAAACCATCTAAACCATTTTTTACATCCTAGTTCCACACTACAAAACAATACATATCATCAAAGAGTGACAGATGTAAAAACATAAGAGCCATCCAAGGTCTTACCTGAAATTCGTAAATTCAGACCTGATATTGTACAATTCTTCAAATTTTGAACTTGTTAAAAATCCTTAAACCTTCTTAGAATTCATCTAAATTATATTTTACATCTTAGTTCCACACTATAAACCCATAAATACCATCAAAGAGGGAAGGATTTAAAAGACATAAGGGTCATCCAAGGTCATACCTGAAATTTATAAATTCAGACCTGATATTGTACAATTCTTCAAATTTTGGACTCATTTAAAATCCTTAAACTTTCTTCAAATTCATCTTAATTATTTTTTACTAATAAGTTTCACACTACAAAACCATACATATCATCAAAGAGGGACAAATATAAAAAATATAAGGCTCATCCAAGGTCTTACCTGAAATTCGTAAATTCAGACCTGATATTGTGCAATTCTTCACATTTTGAACTTGTTAAAATTCCTTAACCTTCTTAAAACCCATCTAAATTATTTTGTACATCTTAGTTCCATACTACAAAACCATAAATATCATCAAAGGGGGACAGATGTAAAAAACCTAAGGCTCATCCAAGGTCTTACCTAAAATTTGTAAATTCAGACCTGATATTGTACAATTCTTGGAATTTTGAACTTGTTTAAAACATGAAACTTCCTTAAAACCAATTTTAATTATTTTTTACATCTTAGTTCCATACTTCAAAACCATATTTATCATCAAAGAGGGATAGATCTGGAAACCATAGGCATCAGCTATAGTCATACACAAAATCACCCCTCTCAAAAATGTCAAATTTTTCAAAAAATCAACAATTTTTTTCTCGGCTCCTACTAATTCAATTAGTTTGAACCTTCCAGGGCTTACAGCCCTGCTACTGGGCACTTCACATGAAATTTTTCAATGTCTTCCAGTGTCTGATTGAAAAGTGAGGCTCTAAAAAGTAAGAAAATGGGTCATGAATTTGCCCCCTGGGGTACATACTTTGTAGTATTTTCCAAATTCTGTAGGAGTGATTGGCATTATTTATTTTGCAAATGATTCATATATATAATGTCTATGTATATAACTTACAAACATCAAGATATCTAAAATTATTGAGAATGAAAAAATTATTTTCCGGGGGTGGGGTGTTTTTTGGGGGTGGGGGGCTAACCCCTGAAAAAAAAGAATTATGTACCACTCTGTGAAGCTATCACCTAGGTAGAATTTTCATCCAAGACTTCCCTCTAACTGAAAATGCTGCCAAACCAACTATACTCCATTTATTAAGAATTTTCCTCCTCGCTCTTAGAGTACTGACCCAATCACCGTCATAGAAATCTGAGCAACAAGCGAATTTATGTTATAAAGTAAAATGTTTATATTTCAAATGTCATAAAGTGAAGTCATATTTTTTTCAAACAAAAATCAGATATGGATATTGAACTAATATTTTTATGAAGAGATAACATGGGATAAAAAAAACTCGGTATTCAATATGGATTTATTCCTCGTGACAATATGATATTTCCCTCTGGCCCTCGGGGCCCTCCGGGCCCTGGGGAAATATCATATTGTCCCTCGGAATAAAATCCATATTGAATCCCTCCCAGTAAATAACCTCTATGTATTCCCTCTCATTAAATAACCCTATTTTACCCCATACTTGGACGTGTTTCGGGTACATAAGAAGGTTTGTAAACAGTTACTTTTCAATATGCGGCTTGATATCCCGTTATGTCGACCCAGCTGGTTATAATTTCCGTTCGCATATTGGTTCATTTTTGTAACGTTCGCATAATTACTGGATCAAAGTAATTTCTGTTTAAAACTAAGTGAAGGAACATATTTATCCCCATTAATGATCAACGATTCGAGAACACAAATATCACGCGGTCCTAACTTCGACCGTTAATTTGAATTTTTGACCTACCGGATGTTTGAAAATCAAGGATTGCGACACTCATACTGCACCGTTTTTTCTTTAAACTTATACCATTAAAAGCAGAACGAAATTGCCTTTCTGTCGGTGCATTACTTTATTGTAAAGAGTCCCTCGTTCTAGCAGCGTTTTGGTCCCCGGCTGTTAGAAGGCCTTCTTACAGCTGGGGACCAAAATGCCGCTGGAAGTAGGGACTCTGTTTAAGAGAATAATGTACCATCAGAAAGCGATTTTTGTTATGCTTTGAATAGAACAAGTTTGAAGAAAAATGGTGCAGTATGAGACTCGTAATCCTTGATTTTCAAACATCCGGTAGGTCAAGAATTCAAAATAACGGTCGAAGTTAGGACCGCGTGAATATAGATGATAATCTGAAAGAACGGAAAATTCCGGACATGGATATTCTAAACGACTTGCTACGGTTGAAATACATATCAACCAACCTGCTTTGTGCTCCTCAAACAAGTCCAAATATGGAATATCTATCGAGTAAATGTTTATATAATTAATGGCATTTTTTGCTACTTACCAAAACCCAATACCGTGGTGGCAGTTAGAACCGCAACAAGCTTGTTTCGGATGTTCATTTTGTAAACTGTCAAGATATCAATTCGCAAGTGCAAACTGAGAACATTGATTGCACTTCGAAAAAAAGTATAAAACAATCGAGACATAATTTATTGTTATGGGTAAATAATGATAAATAATGAAAATAAATCGATAAATAATGATTAATTATATCTTATGAGTTTTCCAAGTCGCAATAATTATATCATAAACATGTAAATGTATAAATAGGCTAGGGGTTATGTACTGGGATATTTTGGATACGGGGAATATGCTCAGGGATATACGATATATTTTCCGAGGGCCCGAAAACCGACAATGCATAACCTAATGAGGCATGCTGATGTAACTTGCAGTATTTCTTAAACTCCATTGTAAAAGTATGAATACGAAAATAACCTAAAATGTTTAACAGTAGAACTTGAATCTGTCTCCATTCTAAAACTTGAATGTCTTTTGTTTAATTCAGTTCTAAAATGGTTATGACGGGTATCCCCTGGGAGGGATATATAGCCATCGTATGTCCCGGAAAAAGGCTTGAGCCGGATATATGATTTGTATATCCATTTCATATGAAATGCATTCACCTGAATATGGAAATTATTACCGGTTAATATGCCCCTCAAACCCCATCATGTATAACATACTGCCGTATATTAAGTGAAGAAGGTTCAAATCAAGATTTCTTTTTTGTAGTATTTATTTTATTTCAGTTTAAACTTCTTACATTTTACATTTTAAAGCAACCTTCAAACGTTTTTCCTTTCACACCATACATTCCTACCCATCCGTACCCTCTCATTTTTCATACATCCCAGTCAGACATATGCTAACTGTAAATGTCACATAAATATAGAGGAAAAATCATGCCATAAAATAAAGATTTTGACAATTGCCATGCAATGTCTTGTCAGCAAGAAGAAAATAAGTATCTCGGGAGTTAATCAGGAGCAACTTTAACATAATACATACGCATTTGTCACGATTAAGCATAACTTAATTACTAGAAATTATACTTTAGAATTAAATCATAATACAGTGATCGTCTAACTATAAAGGACAGTCGTCCGTGTCTCCGTTATTTTCTTCCTCCGACTGGCTCTCTGTCCGGACATCTCTTCCAATATCGTTCGACCTTTGCTCATCATACCAGATCAACAGTTCATATACCAAAGCCAAATTTTTTTTCATAGATTTTTATTTCAGGTTTAGCAGCATTACAATTCAATAAATACGAATGTTCAATATAAACAAGGTTCTGCATTATTTCTATACTAAATTGAAGGTATTTCTGCCAAGAGCACCACGAGTAGATAGAGTGTTGCATTGTTGCTACATTTTATGTAGATTCTTCGGAGTAATATATATATAGGATCCTCCTAGAAAATTCAAGTAAATTCACTATGTTATAATAAATGTTTGATCTCTCCCCCACTTGTCCCCTTTCTCCAACTTTACATCTAGTTGAAAATATTGTTGCACATTACTTTTAAAACCTACAAAATTTGGTCGTACATTTTTACATTTACATAGATAAATATATATTTTATATATACAAAAAATTGTGTTTAATAGTATTGATTTTTCGTTCATGATTACTGGACCCAATAAAGCCAAAGTTCAATAATTATTTTGTCACGCGGTATATGGCATACATTCATGGTTGCGCGGTATTTGTGATACGGGTGTATATACCATACTCATCTGCGGTATATGGCATATAGATGAGTATTTTCCGTAGTGAATATGCGATACATTGATTTCAGTGAATACCCGACACTCACCGGCGGATCGGATATTCAAAGTATTAGTATATTTAAGGATATTCCTGGATACTATAAATATCCGGGATTTGAGAAACGTTCGGAAACTATCGGATACTATACCATGTATGTAAACTTTTTATTCAATGTCATATTTTTAGGTGAATTGCAATGTATATTTGCGTCATTTGTGACTAAACTTTGTTGATGAATGAATATCAATAAGTACTCAAAAGCGGTCTGTAAAAAGACATAAAACGTACATGTGGTGAGGATTTTATTTTTCATTGAGGATAAATTAATAAATAAATTACGGCTATTAAAGTTCATTTGCTCAGCTATGGTCGTTATAAAGATGATAACACTTTAAGCTTTCATCTCCCAATATCGCTTCGTTCCATTATATTTCCAATCTAGCTTCCATAATGCATCTCCAGTTATGTAGATCTCATTTGAGTTCGGCCTAAACTCTATATTAGTTGTCCGCTTCATTGGCAACTTTAATTGACACAGCGGACCACCTCCATTAGCATCGAAGACGTATATCATACCCCCCTTATAGTCTGTAACTAATAGGTTCCCATTTGTATCAAAGTCCATACCATCACTTAATCTGCCGACTGTAAGTAGAAACCAAAGCATACTGAACCGCTAAACTAACACATTTACAACTAGTTTTGTATTGAGTATCTATTATAAACATATCCTGCAAATAAAAGGAGTGGTATCGATATGGAGAACTGAATTCAACAACCTTTTTCTCATAAACCAATCATTGAAAACATTCTGTAAAAAACATGGTATTCTGTGTAATGTTGACTGATTGACAACAACTTAATGCGAAAATTATTTAGAAATATTTTATATAACTGTTTTTGTTAACATTTTTTGATTTTTAGTGCAATTGGTTTTGCTCCTTTCTACCAATTCTTGAGAATGAACTAAAATGTCTTTCCGAACCTTGTTGGAACAAAATAGCATATAAAACATGTTCTTAGACCTCTCAATATTACAGTTATATAAAGGAATTGTTGGTTGATTTTAAAAAAGTATTCAAAAATTAAAACAAAATCCCCCCCACCCAAAAAATAGATAAAAATCAAGATAAACCTTTTATTTCATTAACAAGATACTTTTTTAAACTCAACAAAAATTTCCTTTGTACAATTACATTTAGACATTTTTAGACATTTTCAGGAAAAAAGTTGCCCCGGGTATTAGAATGTCATGTTACTATAGTAACCATAACTCTAGCTGCATTTCATCATTTTTTCTGAAACTTTAGAATTTAGGTTGCAATACTTCAAAGTACAATTTGTGAAAATTTAAAGATACTTAGTACAAAATTGACAAAATGCCAGCACCAGTCCTGTTACTTTTGGAACACCCTTTATACCTAAACATGTTGGGTTTATGTCGTTTTGTTACAATGAGGTTCGGAAAGATGTTTCATTTCACTCTGGAAACATGATACCAAGAACAAAACAAGTGTTTGATGTGTTTTCTAAAACAATATAAATGAAAGTATTTTTTTCAAATTATATTGTTACCATTCAAAAGATGACCATTGAATTTACGATGTGTAAAATTTTTAGATTTTTTATGACTGGTTTAAGAGAAACGTGTGTTCAAGAAGTTCTCCATATCGATACCACTCCTTTGTTTCATGAATTAACAAGATATTAGCCTTACCTGGTAAATTTCCCCAAACTCGCTTGTTCTCGATTTGACAAGGGCCAACAATATCGTAGCTCCATAAGGGGGCGGTTATATTGTATGACGACCCAAAAATGAGTTTCTTCGGAGTCCCATTGCTATCATGTTGCACAGTTATACCATTGGGGTATATAAGTTCAGTGGCAACTTTTATGATCTCGTTCGTTGTCGTATTATAGCAGTTCACACTCCCAAATGGTTTCTTAAAATGACGTTAATAAAAATATGCATAAAAACTATTTAATAAAGATTTATTTCAGCTAGAAAAAGAGTGCACCAGATATAAATTAATAACACTTTAAACTATCATTTCAAAAACGATCCGTGAAATTACAGCATTTATTTTATATTCGTAGTAATATATATTTGTTCAAGACAAATGCAACCACAAATGACGTCGAAATTGGAAAGGCCAACACGTATGACAACATACACGTTGTAAAACATAAGATGGTACATCTTCTGGGCAATATCCTAGATGCGAGTAGAAATAATCTTGATTTACGTCATTAAAAATTCAATTCAAAAATTCTAGGTCGGGGAGATTCCCCATAGCCCCCATGTTGTAAAATCACAAAAATGGAAACATCTTTGTTGTGTTGGGCAGATAATATTTCCCTTTACTGGACATATTTTAATTTGTATAACTATCAGATACATAAGGGTAATATGAAAAGTGAACCACTAAAACGGATGAAACTGGGAATTTTGTAATACTTAATGTAATGTTATTTCCCCCGAATCAGCCACCTGGTGGCGAAACTGGTAACTACCTACTCGCATCTGAGTAATTGAGAACCGTTAATTATATAATATAATGTGGTATATGTGACTATCCTTTGTGACTATCCTATTCCTCAAATGAGGACTTAAGGTATATCAAATGGTTTTTGAAACGCACTCAATACGTCAGTATTTGGAAGATATTATATTAATTAATAATAATTAATTAATATTATATTAATGTCAATGGTGTCCTAGATTCGCTTAAAAAAGATCCAAACGGACCCGATTGTTCGACTTTTGTAACATTGGAGAGAGAATCAGATCTAACAAGCAAGTTTAACAAAAATTGTTCCTTTAGAATATGACATTCCCATGTTAACCAATGGGAAATGGTAGGTTTGCGGCAAGTCATATGAGGGAATATCCATCGATCCGAGTCCTTGCAAAAATACCAGTTGGGCAGGCAACTGAATTTGCTAACTTTATTTAACAAAAAGTTGATATGTTTCTTCAGGTTCAACAAAGTTATAGGGCTTAAAAGTCAAAATTGTTTTTCAAAAACCTCTCCCATTGAAATAACACAGGAGGCGAAAAATTATTTTTTAAAAATGACTTTGAAGCGCTGTAACTTTAGTATTCATCAAATAAACTAAACACTTAGTGTACAAAAAAAGTTAGACAATTCAATTCTCTATGAAAAAATATTTTTGCTGAATCTTTTACGGAAAGGATATCCTGATTTCTGATATGCCCCGAACCCTCCATTTCCCACTGGATTACATGGGAATGACGATTTTCGACCTATTATTATTGTAATTGAGGAAAAAATTGAGAGAATTTGGAGGTATTGGAAATAAAGTCAAGTTACGTTTCCATCAACATAATCACCCTGGGTATAGTCTGTCACGTGACTTCATGGATGACGTGTGCGCGAGTGATTCGCATTTTCTTTCGCTTGAGGTTTGTAATCACACTTTTTACATGTTTTAAGATTTTGTATCTCTGTGAAACTTGTCCCGTACCATCAATGTCTGAAGACGATCTAATTCACCAAATATCTCATCCAAGCGTGTCCCGGTTAAAGAGAAATTCGCACTTTTGTGTCTCGCAAAATGACGTGTGCGCGAGTAAATCGAATTTTACGAAGGATGGGTGCGCGAGTCTAACATATTTATATTCATTTTAAACAATTCTGCAAGCTAGACACAATATTGATTTTGTTACAAGGTGATTTAAAAACATATGAAAAGCATACCTTTCTCCCTTTGCACGAAATATGTACGCCTGCTACCACTGTCCACCAGGAACTCAAAGGTTCGAAGGCCTAGAGGGTGTAGCCCTTCATACCTGGGAAGAACATAAGTATGACGAATTTCGTTTTTATGTAAGAGTTTTAAACCACGAAAATGGTTTTATGTCATACATGTCTAAACGGTATGGCTTCATTCCATTCGAAAAAGAACTATCAAACGAAAGAATCCAGATTGATTCAATAAACAACAAAATAAAATTGATTAAAGCTGAACATGATAGTCCACACGACCACATTACAAAGAAAACTATGCTATGTACCCCAGAGGCTAAAGCAAATGTAAAAAGAGAGCCCATCTAGACTTCTGACAGTAGTTTCTAAACCACTCGTGCTTGGGCTATCCATATTAAATACCTGAAACTAATAATAACAAGTGAAATGTATAAACAGTTACAAAACAATTTCCTTATGAGTCGTTTCATGAAATTGTTCTAGAATTGTAATAAATACTATAAGGGCACGGTGTTTTCTAACTAATAACTACCTCAATAATTTATGATACCTTAAAGTGTTCTTGGGGTATATATTTTTAAACCAAATTCAAATCATTTTTAGTAGGGGAGGGGGAGGTATCAAGATTTTACCCATCAGAATACCTTGCTTTGGGGACAAATGCATGGTAGTGACGGGAATCATTACCCAAACTATTTTGGGCGCAAATCAATTTTGTATTTGACTTTCTATTATGCTGTTCTTCAATTGTTTTTTTACAAATGGAGGATCTGAGTACACGAAAGCTCATATTATATTGCTACATTTATAGCGAACATTGATTTCTGAGTCTGTAAAAACAAAGTATGTGGGATCACCCTTGGTATACGCAGCTGACGAAATGGACCGGTATGGGTCAAAAGCTGGACCTGTACGGGTGAACTTTGGGGGTACTTAAAATCATTCGGAGGGATCATATATTTCAACTTAGATACGAAGAAGTCAATATTGAGCAAGTTATAGCTGTTTTAAATTCAAATAAAACCGTTAACCCGTACCGGTCCAGCTTTTGACCCGTACCGATCCATTTTGTCAGCTGCGTATACCAAGGGTGGGGATGCGGAAGAAGTTAGAAGCTGCTATAATTATTTGATATTACTTGGTATCATGGGCTTCCCCTTACTATTCCTTACATGGTTCTGATCGTGGCGGATGCCGAGTAACCACATAACAACTCTAACCCCCCCCCTTGTATGGGATGTCAATAAATGAATATGCTGCCGGTTTTATGAGACCGCCAAAAATTTAATTCAATTTTTGGTTCAAATTTTAATTCACCTGCAATGCCGGACAGCCCTACAAGCTATTTCAAAACATTTATTGTCATTAAACGTAGACATGTATGTATGTGCCATACATGAAACATCTACAAAATAGCAAACTATTCTTTAACATACTACTTTAAGATGACAAAAACAAATGTCACGTGAGTTGAATTCTGCCTTAGCTTGCAGAATTGTCTCAAGTGAATAAAAATATTTTAGACTCGCGCACCCATCCTTCGTAAAATTCGATTTACTCGCGCACACGTCATTTTGCGAGACACAAAAGTGCGAATTTTTCTTTAACCGGGACACGCTTGGATGAGATATTTGGTGAATTATATCGTCTTCAGACATTGATGGTACGGGACAAGTTTCACAGAGATACAAAATCTTAAAACATGTAAAAAGTGTGATTACAAACCTCAAGCGAAATAAAATGCGAATCACTCGCGCACACGACATCCATGAAGTCACGTGACAGACTATACCCAGGGTGATAATGGAGAGGTTAAGCTTTGCATATATAATCGAAACTAAACCTGTACGTATCACTCGACCATAGACAAATTCATGTAGCCTTCTCATATAAATAGCCGTTCAAATCCAGTGTTTGTTTAGACTACACCATAGTGTAATGATTCTATAGTATGTCATTGATGCGGTTTTATAGCTGGTTTTCTAATACATATTTTAAACGAGCTCGTTTCGTAAGATTTTTGGCGCTAAATCATGCATGACATACATCATCGTGTTCAGCAAGAATTCAACTGTGCATCGAAATCAAAATTGACAGCATAGTGTTCAATAGACACGAGTAAAATGGTTCCCGTTGACCCAACGTCAAATTTCAAATCTCCCGTTCTAAACCCGAAACTCTGAAGCTGAAAGAGTATCTGAAGTAGACTAAGCGCGCATAAAACTATGAGCGCTCGATACATTCCTTTGTTAATTTTTGTACTTTGCGTTCACGGTTACGTTGTGAAAAACATCGTTAGCTTAACCTCTCCACTGAGTTATTTCAACGCCGGTTAAGTATAAAAATTCAAACGTAAATGGGGATTTAACACGTAGTTAAATGGGGGAGCTTAGGTTGCCAAACTTATGGAGGGGAGTGTATATCGCATTGTAACATTTTGAACTACCTCACCTTTACCTGCGGTCAAAAAATATCACCAACATATGTATTCAAACAACATATTGTTATACATAAATGCCACGAAATGTTATAAAATGCTAAGACACCTGACATCGTGTGATTAGGTTTATTCATAGTTCCATGCATCTATATTAAGCAATGTACATGCGCTGTGAAAGGTATTTCAATACCTTTAGAAGGTGTAAAAAGTATTTTCATAATCAATATAAAGAAATCCAATTGAAAATGTAAAATGGGACTGGGTTGGATTCAAGTGAAAGTTCCGGGCATTGGCGATAACGGGATACTTTAGTGTAGCTCTCCAGATATACTGTCTACTTCCACAAGTTATGAACCTAAAACTTCACCTGTTACTTTATCTTTTTTATCCATGAGTGGGTGTAATTTATCTTTTTGAAAACCAATAGGATTGTCTGTTTGTCCCATGGCAAAAAAGAAAAATTTGAAAAAATCCATTTTGCAGAACCAAAAAAATCGAAACCATCAAATGTCTCTTTTGAAACCATCGAATATCACTTTTTAGAAATAATATAAGTTGAATTGGAGACTCTTTGTTAAAATATGATATCTTGATCCATATATCAAAAAAAAGAAATCTTCACGTGGTATTCGATCTATATCCTTGCAACTATGAGATAAAACAAGATTCTTAAATGGCCGTGTGACGTCTCCGGTATACTATATTAAATACGTATTATCGCCCGACTATACGAGGGAGTTTAAGCTTGCATATAAAATCGAAACGCCAACCTATACGCATGACCAATTGCCCTTACACATGCATCACTTAAATAACTTCCGTTCGCGTTTAGTTTGTGAAAAACAGTACAAGCTTAAACTCCCTATTATCATAAATATTACCTTCCTTGATTGTCTAAGTGGATGCGGGGCAATAGGACCAAATGGTGCAGTCATCCATAGATTACCATGATTATCAAATATAAGGTCATTTAGACCCTGTAGAGTTTCATTCTTATTATCTTTAGTAACAACCTAAAATTAGTGAAAACATGCTAACTTTTTTTGTTGGCAGAATTATTTTTCTTGTTCCCATTGGCATTTAGTCCTTAGTTTTTAGTTTTAGCAATACTTTAAACCAACATTCTAAACTATTGTGTTAAAATTGTTAATGAATTTGTTGAAAAGAAGAGACGTGTAATTATTTAAAAAAATTACTGTCCAGGCCGAGATAATATCACAGCGTTATCTGATCACTAAATGTGATAGATGTATATAGTGTCTACCGCCATCCGAGATGACAGAATTTTTTTCTCAAAAACTTGAACTTGAAATACAATTTGCTCTTAGCTACTAATAATTCTTTAATATTTTGATGCACATATATAATATTCTCAAGTTTGTAAATAACATGCATATTTAGATGAAAAAAATTGACCAAAAATAGCCGCAAAATTGAACGTTTTGAGGTAGAGGAGACAAATAAAATTAAATTGTTTCTATAAAACTCAAAACATATAGTTACATTGATTTGCAGAAATCTGAGAGACATGTTCAGAACCTTCCGAAAAAATCCATAGACATAGCACTAGTAGTTTTTGAAAAATCATTTTTTACTCAAATTATGTGGATCGAAAGTGTATTCATTGTACTACATGGTCTTCATTCAAAAGAAAGTAAATAGAACCAGCTTATATTTTTATTCGATGAAACCACAGAGATGGTGTGGTTTTCAAGCAATTTCTGAAAAAATTGCAAGTTCTCACCATGCTAACTCGGCCATTATACCACCGACCACCTCGATTTTTGCACCAAATATGGTATCTTATCTATATAGCTTTAGCTTCTAGGATTACAGAAAATATTTCTCATGGCAGAGAAATACCGGGGGGAAATCCAGAGGGGGATCCGATCCGACCCGACGTTTTTAAAAGTCACTTATATTCGCGTGAATGTCAACCACTTTCTCCAGGTTTACCAACCATCGTGTGTATGTAAGAATGATGTTCAACAACTTACTTATTACTTTCTTACCTGTTTGATAGAGCCATCTTGTTTCACTTTTAATAAGCCAAGGCTCACATCAGAAACCCAGATATTGTTCTCAGGGTCTGCTTGTAATCCCCCTGGCATTCCCTTAATCCCATTTACTGACAGGGCAACGAAAGTGCTATCCTGCGAAAATGGTGAACCTTACATGAATACGTATTCTCTGATAAATGTTAAGATATGTTGAAGAAGGTGTGGAGAAGGAGATTTTACATTGACAAGTCAGAGTAATATTCTCTGATCAGAATAATCCTTTGTTGAAATCGCAGCACATTGAAGGTCTTACACAGTGCAGATTACTGAAACCCTTAATAATACATCGTAATGCTTGGGGAGTTGATATCTTGGCTTAGTGAATAATTTCTATATGTACTATATGCGTTTAAAAATAAATATCAATATGATCTAATCAGCATTTATAGAAAAATATATAAATTAGCAAATAGACGTCACTATAACATAATTTACACTATTAGCAAACAAAACAGATTTCCTGCCACATGACAACATTCAATGCATAAACAGGAGAGCGGCGTCAAAATGGTATTTTTCATTATTTATTCCATTGAAATTGTTGAAATGTTTAGGAAATATCACAACAGGATTAAACATTAGCAATCAATAATAATAGAGGCTATTAAGAAAATGTACCTGCTTCTTTTCTAAATCAACTCTGCGGATTTCACCGGCATCATACGACAAGACGATATAAAAATGCCCATCCTTTGCGAAAATTGGACCTTCTATAATCTCACCTACGTTCACTATTTTGGTGAAGCCGGCTTTAAAAATAAATTGTTCTACCATTATTGAATTTATGACTAAAATAACAATGTTCTTACACGTCGCACGAAACTGGGGACAATTAGAGTAACATTATGGCGTCAAAATACCAAACAATACAATGGGCAGTCAGATAGGGCGCAATCAGCATTATAACGTCAAAAACGACAAGCGTTACATTTTGTCAATTTTAGTCAACCTAGAAATAAGATGCTTTATTCTTATTCAATCCTGGTAAAATTCAACGAGCAACAAGATCTCGAGGACAGTATTTCTAAAATGTTTTTGATTTTTGAAAAACGGTCAGGAAATCCACTCGGGGCGTTAGCAAAAATTGATATGTATGGGATTTGTGGTAAAAAATCGATGCGTTACATTTTTTCAAGTCTCTAAAAGCAACTCTTATTTTTTTATTATTTGAAGAATAAAGAAATCGGTTATTGTTTTGTAAATTTCGCCATGACAATATTGTGCAGTTAAATTTTTTTTGAAATCAGACCTAAATTAGAAGGTTAAATAAAGGTAAACTTATTGCTTGTCTCCTTCATCTTCAAAACCTTACACAATTTTGAAAATTTTACAAGCGTTCATATAAGACGATTTGAACTGTAGCCGCTAGGCAATTGTGACGTCATAAAAGCACATGTTTCAATGAATAAAATGTGAAATTTTAGTAAAATTCTGATCAGTATTTCAAAAGTTATCCCGAATTCAACGAACCGTGTAAGCATGGAATGTTACGTCTTACAGCGTATTTGACGATGTCGGAGTACATTTAACTTTAAAAATATGGTAGATCTCATCAAACTTTTCAAGGAAAAATTATTTCAGTGAAATGCGAATAAAAAACACTTCAAAATGATATATAATGCACATAGTTAGCTTTTTAAATAAGGCAGATATTAACGCTTAAAGCTGAGATTAGCCCGTATTTCCCGAATTGTCCCCAGGTCCGTGCACGTCATATCTGCATTTACTTAGATGCTCAAATTCTCATATATAGAAATGTACTTTCTGTTAGTCCAAGTACTTGTATACGTTAGTACCAGGAATGTGTTATGCCTGTACATCTACTCTTCAGTTATTCTTGAATTATTTTGCAGATTGTCAGTGACCGACACTTAAAGGAATAGTGTTACATGAATAATATAATAACAAGCACTCCACAAGTCAGTTAAACATAATGTGGCAAACTTTATAAATTACTGTCAGTAATCATCTGAGAGCGTTGATATTGTAGTTAATAATAACTAGACTTGGGAAATTGAACGAAGTTCAATTTCAGACTCCAGATCCAGACTTTTTTAAGCCCAGTCATCTAAAATAAGCCGAGTCATCCAGAATAAGATGGATGGATAAAACAGGAAGGTAGGATAGGATAGAATGGGAAGGAACGATAGGATAGAATAAGAAAGAAGGATAGGATAGAACAGAATAGGAGGAAAGGATATGATAGGAGAGGATAGGAAGGATAGGAAGGAAAGGATACGAAGAAAGGATAGGATAGGATAGGATAGGATAGGAACAGATAGGAAGGATGGATGAATTTTTCAATATTTTCTTCTCTACTCTTGACTTTCTATCAGGGTACCATCAGATCGATTTTCCGAAATTTCAAAACGCCATAACTTCCGAACCGGAAGTCGGATCGAAATTTGATGTAAAGATTCGGATTCCTGACAAAATTCTACCCCTAATTCATAACTCATACATTAAATTTGGCGAATTTTTATTTTGACCTACTTTTTGGACACGCCATAACTTCAGAACCGGAAGTCGGATCGAAATTTGGTTTGCAGATTCGGATTTCTGAGAAAATTCTATTCTTAATTCATAACTCAAACGTTAAATTTGGAGAACTTTTTATTTTGACCTACTTTTCGGACACCATATCTCAAAAGTGGGTCAAAATTCTTTCTGACGGCAAAAGGCTAACACTATAAGCCCACTCTTGGCTACATATATACACAATATCGAAGAATATAATTAAAGTGTAGTGTCAGAACCGCAAAAATAAGGATAAACTATGAATTTGACCTAGACTTTGACCTAGGGATTTTGGTGTCCAAATTTTGAAGTTAAGTAGCCTTCAAGGTCCCCTTCTTTCATAGGCTTTCATTATTTTAAGCTGTACTTAGTCTAAATCTCGTAATTTACACTTCAAAAAAACCTTATTTCCCATTGCCATAACATGGGGCACCAAATTTAGCGATTTTTGAGCTTTCAAAATATCATAACTTCCAAACCGGAAGTTGGATCGAAATTTGGTTTGCAGATTCGGATTCCTGACAAAATTCTACCCTTTATTCATAACTCATACGTTAAATTTGGAGAACTTAATATTTTGACCTACTTTTCGGACACCATATCTCAAAAGTGAGTCAAAATACTTTCTGACAGCAAAAGGCTAACACTATTAGCACACTCTTGGCTACATGTATACACAATTTCGAAGAATATAATTGAAGTGTAGTGTCAGAATCGCAAAAATAAGGAAAACCTTTGAATTTGACCTAGATTTTGACCTAGGCATTTTGGTGTCCAAATTCTGAAGCTAGATGGCTTTTGAGGTCCCCTTCTTTTGAAGGCTTTCATTAAATTAAGCTGAACTCAGTCTATATTTCGTATTTATCACTTCAAAAAAATCATTTTTCCCATTGACTTAACATGGACACCAAATTTAGCGATTTTTGAGCTTTTAAAACGACATAACTTCCGAACCGGAAGTCGGATCAAAATTTGGTTTGCAGATTCGGATACCTAGGAAAATTCTACACCTATTCCTTAACTCATATGTTGAATTTGAAGAACTTTTTGTTGTGACCTACTTTTCGGACGCCATATCTCAAAAACGGTTAGAGTTATCAAAAAACGATTTGCCTTTCGGAATTAGCTTTGTTTTAAAGGAACATAACTAAAAAAAACGGAGCGAAAATATCGAAAGACGACCGAGAAAATTGAAAAAAATAACAAAGTACTGGATTTGACCTAGTTCTTGACCTTTGACCTAGATAAAAATTTGACCCCATTTCCCACCAACTAGATACTATACCTATATTGACCATATAATAGTCTTGAAAAGATGTCTTATAGTTGTTGAGAAAACTCGATCAGTATAATAAGAATAAGAAGAATAAGAAGAAGAACTAGACTTGGGAAATTGAACGAAGTTCAATTTCAGACTCCAGATCCAGACTTTTTTAAGCCCAGTCATCTAAAATAAGCCGAGTCATCCAGAATAAGATGGATGGATAAAACAGGAAGGTAGGATAGGATAGAATGGGAAGGAACGATAGGATAGAATAAGAAAGAAGGATAGGATAGAACAGAATAGGAGGAAAGGATATGATAGGAGAGGATAGGAAGGATAGGAAGGAAAGGATACGAAGGAAGGATAGGATAGGATAGGATAGGAACAGATAGGAAGGATGGATGAATTTTTCAATATTTTCTTCTCTACTCTTGACTTTCTATCAGGGTACCATCAGATCGATTTTCCGAAATTTCAAAACGCCATAACTTCCGAACCGGAAGTCGGATCGAAATTTGATGTAAAGATTCGGATTCCTGACAAAATTCTACCCCTAATTCATAACTCATACATTAAATTTGGCGAATTTTTATTTTGACCTACTTTTTGGACACGCCATAACTTCGGAACCGGAAGTCGGATCGAAATTTGGTTTGCAGATTCGGATTTCTGAGAAAATTCTATTCTTAATTCATAACTCAAACGTTAAATTTGGAGAACTTTTTATTTTGACCTACTTTTCGGACACCATATCTCAAAAGTGGGTCAAAATTCTTTCTGACGGCAAAAGGCTAACACTATAAGCCCACTCTTGGCTACATATATACACAATATCGAAGAATATAATTAAAGTGTAGTGTCAGAATCGCAAAAATAAGGATAAACTATGAATTTGACCTAGACTTTGACCTAGGGATTTTGGTGTCCAAATTTTGAAGTTAAGTAGCCTTCAAGGTCCCCTTCTTTCATAGGCTTTCATTATTTTAAGCTGTACTTAGTCTAAATCTCGTAATTTACACTTCAAAAAACCTTATTTCCCATTGCCATAACATGGGGCACCAAATTTAGCGATTTTTGAGCTTTCAAAATGTCATAACTTCCAAACCGGAAGTTGGATCGAAATTTGGTTTGCAGATTCGGATTCCTGACAAAATTCTACCCTTTATTCGTAACTCATACGTTAAATTTGGAGAACTTAATATTTTGACCTACTTTTCGGACACCATATCTCAAAAGTGAGTCAAAATACTTCCTGACGGCAAAAGGCTAACACTATTAGCACACTCTTGGCTACATGTATACACAATTTCGAAGAATATAATTGAAGTGTAGTGTCAGAATCGCAAAAATAAGGAAAACCTTTGAATTTGACCTAGATTTTGACCTAGGCATTTTGGTGTCCAAATTCTGAAGCTAGATGGCTTTTGAGGTCCCCTTCTTTTGAAGGCTTTCATTAAATTAAGCTGAACTCAGTCTATATTTCGTATTTATCACTTCAAAAAAATCATTTTTCCCATTGACTTAACATGGACACCAAATTTAGCGATTTTTGAGCTTTTAAAACGACATAACTTCCGAACCGGAAGTCGGATCAAAATTTGGTTTGCAGATTCGGATACCTAGGAAAATTCTACACCTATTCCATAACTCATATGTTGAATTTGGAGAACTTTTTGTTGTGACCTACTTTTCGGACGCCATATCTCAAAAACGGTTAGAGTTATCAAAAAACGATTTGCCTTTCGGAATTAGCTTTGTTTTAAAGGAACATGACTAAAAAAAAACGGAGCGAAAATATCGAAAGACGACCGAGAAAATTGAAAAAAATAACAAAGTACTGGATTTGACCTAGTTCTTGACCTTTGACCTAGATAAAAATTTGACCCCATTTCCCACCAACTAGATACTATACCTATATTGACCATATAATAGTCTTGAAAAGATGTCTTATAGTTGTTGAGAAAACTCGATCAGTATAATAAGAATAAGAAGA